CCCACCTTAACCTACTGGTGCCCAGTCTCTCCTTAGGTACTCCGTCGTTCATCTTGGCCATTTGTTGACGCTTTAATTGTTCAAGTTTCACATAGAATGGTAAAAGACTTAACCAAAAAATATCTTGCAATATTTTCAAAAGAGTCAGAAGTTGGCTTGTTATATTCCATCAAAACTGTAGTAAGGCAACCTAAGCCTTTTCAATCAGGCAGCCTACGGCAAGCCGTCACTTTAAAAATCACTCAAGTTTCTTTTTTCGTTACGCCGTCTCCTGACTTCTACTTCGCCAAGTCACTGAGATCTGGAGAGCCCGACCTTTTTATCGGTCATATGTGGAAGGAGTGTCAGGGGATGGGGGGAAGGGGGGGTGGTGACATCTGAATGGCTGAGGAGAGGGGGGGGGAGGGTTGGAAAGCCGTGGCATTCAGACAGCAAGAAATCTGCTAGACTTCAAAGTAGCCTGCGTAGCAGCCATTACCTTTCTTTTTTTTAGGCGGAGAGATCGAACAAGCGAGCGAGCAAGCGGGCGAGTGAAGGAGCGCGCACCTGGGGTGAGCAAAAACTTGGGGAGAAGTGGGGAAGGGGTGAACGAGAAGGGGGAGGGGGTGAGGAGAAAAGAAATCGCCTTCGCTCGTCTCACCCCCTCTCCTTGCTCATTATTTCTCGCACTCGCTCGCAGTTTCATTCCCTTCTAGTGCTTTTTTGGAAACGCCTGCTACGCAGGCTAACTTCAAACTCACTTTGAAACTCACTTACTTGTATTCAAATACTTTAATAAGACTGTTAGCCATAAACGTTCAACAGACGTTTGGGCGGGTGACAAGTTTATTGCCTCACCAAGTGAGACAAGTCTCATGTTTCGTCCGTCGTAACTGATTAGAAGGTCATAGGTGTTAAAAACAAACAAACAAACAAACAAACAAATAAACAAACCCAGCATACCTGGGAAATGTAGCAGTGAGGTGTTTTTTGTGTCAGTTCCCAGATACGTTTTCCGGTCAGGCCAATATCTTCCCCAGTTGGTAAATACCAGCAATATCACATCATCCGGGATCTTCCCGTGTTTCTCTTCCCAAGCTTGCAAATCACTAGGCGTCAATTGGGCATCGGCATTCTCGAAAAAGATGACATTAAACATTAACGTCGAATGAGTCTGAGACCGATTCTTTTGTTCAGCACCACTAGAGAAAAGCAGAACCCCGGTTCAAATGTAAAATTCCGCAGTTCACTAACTTCTAGTCAAGTTTGATTGGCCTATAACCTAAAACCTCATAAAAAGAAATAGAAAGTTCGTTCCATCATAGTTAGTTCGCCATTTCCACATCCCACATAATATACCTTGTTTGCCTCTCTCCCCCCCAAAAATTTGCATAAGCATTGTCTTCAGTTTCTCTTGGGACGACTGTAATACCCAGGAAAAATGGGAAACAAAGGTTATGCAGAATTTTGGGGGGCAAACAAGGTGTCTCACGGGGGATGTGGAAATGGTGAATAGAGGGGAATGGTTATGAACTCGACAAAGTTATTTGTTGTATGTTTTTGCTCTCTTTTATTGCCATGACCGTGCACAAAACACAACAGTGGTTTACCAAAGACCTAGGAACTAACCAATAGAAATGTTTTGATTACGTAACTCATGCATAGTGTATGAACGCAAAACAAAAGATTGTGCACGCTCGTGGACCTTCCAACATAAACCTTTGTTTGCTCCTTTGATGTTTCGCGGGCTTCATAAACATTCTCCTCTATTAATTGTGGTTCCATGTATAAACATTTAAGAAATAGATAAATATAAACGCGTTAATGTGACACGTTTCTTAAACCACGCACTTTTCTTGCCATATCGTCTGGTGTGACAATCGTGAACGATAGCCCCACTTGTAATCAATTCAAGTTACGTCAAAAATGTTAACGGAGGGGGGTGGGGTGGGGGGGGAGGTAGATGAAGTTGGAAGAAGACAGCTGCACTTATCCTACGCGGAAGAACGACCACAGCGTCTCAAGTCTGTTTCTTTTTCTTGAATTCCATTTCTATTTAGAGAATTGGAAGTGTTTCTTTTCTCCTTTTCCCTGTTGCCGATATAAACCGTGTAGTCGGGAACTCCGTCCCCAAAATTAGAATCCACAAGATATCTTTTTTAATACCTACATATTTTTCCTGCTTTTCTGGAAATTTTACCTGGGCGGCTTTCGTGGATATGTCTATCTTAATTGCAGGTCCAATAAGCCGATCCAGAGGAATTTCATCTGCTGTCCATTTTCCCTCAGCAAAATGCCTCGGCGCATCTAGATGAGTGCCTCCGTGTTCTGAGGCGCTGATGTCATATGATGCGTAGTAATAACCGGCGGTTGTGAAGTTTTCAAAAACTTTGATGTGTTTGAAACTCTCTGCCGTGGGCCAGTAGATGGTCTCATTGTTAAATGGATAAGAGAGCTCAATGTATGGTACTACTGCTGACTCTGCGAGCAGTGGAAACCAAACGAGTACACAGAACGCAACAGTTTTCATGTTTCCTGCTACAAAAATGCAAAATAAATAAACGAATTTAGGTGACTGAGGTTTCCACAATCTGRGCTAATGTTATCTTAAGAGTCAAATGAAACTGGTACCAATTCCCTTACAGATATTCTTCATAATGATAAAAAATACCTACAAATTCCCAAAAATACCTAACAGGTTKGGATGGAGGGGAGAACTATTTAGATAGAGTGGTTTCCGGGTCTGCCGTGGATTTACGTGGCAAAACATACCGTAGCGAAAAAATTTGGAAAATGAGAAAGAAAATCTCTGGACCATGGTTTCCACCACGACATCGTACATCAACGTCTACGGCAAATGGTAACTTAATTTGAGTCCTTATCTTTTATTATTCGTTTTAAATATCTTGATCCAGTATCAGGGGAACGTTGTAAGAAATCCACCCGTAACTTCGACCTGACTAATTGATAACATCGATAATCGATAACATTTGATAACTATCGATGGTAATCAGTTACAATTAATCGTTTGATGTCGGAAATCGACGTTCAATCGATGGGCATAAAGTTTGCGTTTTTTAATTGCCATCGATCGGGATGTTGATCGTCACTGAAGAAAAAAATGCTTTCCCAGAAGAATACGGGGAAATTTAATCACAGAACAGTTGTTAAAATTGCAAGGTAAGTATCTTGGCCAAAGCTAGCAGCTGGCCAAAGAGAAAACGCTACTCTGCGGAGCCTGCCAGTCAAACGGCAAAGCTGCCAGGAGGGGACAAGGGAGATCAGAGTTGCTTTGCCATAATGCCATTCATTTCTCGAAGTAAACTGAATTTCGTTGCAAGCCAGAACGGTGCTACCAAATCCTTCTGACCACGATCATACATCTTAGTGATCACAATCAGCGCATTGGCCGTTTTTCTACTAAAGACGCATTATCCGTCTGGACAAACTTGGGCAAACATTTGTAGTTCGTCTGGTTATGCGTCTCTAGTATAAAGACGGGCACAAGACGTATAATGCGTCGAGACGAACTATCTCTCCTAGTTCGTCGTTCAAGACGAATTTGGAAGTATAGTTCGTCTAGACGCATAATACGTCTAGTACCCGTCTTTATACTAAAGACACATAACCAGACGAACTACAAATGTTTGTCCAAGTTCGTCCAGACGGATAATGCGTCTTTAGAATAAAAGCGGCGAGGACGCATTATCCTTCTGGACGGATAATGCGTCCTCTAGTATAAAAACGGCCATTCTTCTGATCTACTTTTGCTTCCTTTCTTCTTCTGATCAACGAATCGCTAGCCAACTTCAATAGCAAATGGGCATTGGTGGAACTACAACCTGGTATTCAAAACAACTCGACACATCTCCCGGTTTTGTGCAAACGTCAGGGCACTAACTGATCGAAAACAATAAGCTCGACAGCAAACGATATTTAAGGAATAGAAAACATGTACCGTGTTTCTATCGCGTTATAGAAACACGAGTGGAAGTTTGG